GCTTTGCTTATTTTTTCTTTCTTTCGCTTTGCTTTTTGTAGCTGTGACAGCATCTCTGAGTCATCGAATTCTTTAGCATGAGGCTGCATGACACACATGCAAAAATTATGTATTACAAGATTCGTCACAATTTATGAACACATATACATGCTATCTATAGTTAGATCAAGAAATATGAAGTAATATAGCTACCCAGCTGATGCTTGTGAGTGTGTGAGTAGCTGATAATTTGGAACAAATTATGGGATAAGAGATATCCATGTGGAATGTTTGGGCAATATATAAAGGTACAATTGGGAAATGTGCAGAAACTCCTTTTTCCAAATAGATAGCTCAGAATTAAAATGAACAATTATCTATTAGATTTACGATATCATATCATATTTGCATCGAATGCTGTAGAGAAAATCGTTCAAAAAGAAGTTTTCTTTTTGTTTTTAAACATTTCTCAATCACACTATTAGAAGAATCGGTCGAAAAGTAGTTTTGTTATAGCAAGCTTTTGAGCTATTACGAGCTTTACTATTCTTCTCGAAAATTTGCACAGCTATAACTCGTATATATTTTTCGTGTTTCTTTCTTGTTTTGCATAAAAATCAAAAGCTTGGTAAATTTTATTATGCCATAATCTTTCAACGCAGATTCAGAGTTCAAGATATGAGCTCAAAAGCGAAAAGAAATCGTGGCTGGCTTCACAGACATGCAGACACATGCAGACACATGCAGACACATGCAGACATACATATTTGCTTAAGACTTATAACATTGCCCTCTTTATACAATATTATTCGTTATGTTATATAGAATATTTGGAAGCCCAAATAAATCCATAAGCATATTAACATATGCAGCCCATTTACTGAATGTGCCAACAGATGTGCCGGGTCGGATAATGATAATGTTCGAGACTCTGTTCCAATTATAAGTAAATCTGAGGCAAGATCAGAAAATATATATATACATATACATATATAAATTGTGTGTATACAGCTGACATAATTGGACTGAACTAATGTTGGCCAAAAAAAAAAAAATGGAAAGAGTTTGCTCCGCGGATTAGTTCATTAATGAGACGCGAATATGATGTCATAGGCGGCGGATACACTCCGACGCTTCGCGTTTCGTTGCGTCTTTTTGTGATTTAAATTTCATTATTATCTTATTTTTTTTTTTTTTTTTTTGTTGTATTTATTTTGTTCATTTCATTTTATGCCTGACTCCGCTTGGCAGACCCTCTACCGTCCACCCGTCGCTTAGGCTCCATTGTTAGAATGTCTGTTGCCGGTTTGAGCTTCGCAAAGTTGTTTGTCTGGTTTCTGTTCGGTTAGCTCTTGATAAAGTCGCTGCCAATTCAAGTTCAAGCTTACGTTTCAGTTCAAGAAATATACGTATATACACAGTTTTTGTCTAATGTCTTAAAGTATTTTGTGCTACGATCTTGAGGGTGGTTGTTGGATTGTCTTGCGCCTAAGGGTGATTCTCGACACATTCTTGTTCGGCCACGGGGTGGTTTCTATTCCAGCCTAGCAAATAATTCGTGTCGCATTTATTTGCCGTGTGCTGCGTAGATTTTGGGTTCTATATTTATTAATGGCACGCCTTGTGTATAAGTATTTTATTGCCGGCTTTCTCTTCGGGGTTCAGTGAGAGCCGCAGAGGGCCAGGAAAAGGGTTGATTGTTGCCACCTTTGTTTTTTTTTTGTGCCTTTTGTGAAGAGAGAATTAGCCATGGGCCGAGGATTATAAAATATTTGTATAGCAAAAACAAAAGAATCCTGAGTTATATTTTTTTCAGAGAGAATGAGAGATTTTTAAGATCTTATCCGAATATCTATTGTGATAAGTTGAAAAGTTAACAAGCAAAAGAGAAATCTTTTTATATAGTCTACTCTCATGAAACAACCCCCTTGATTGTCTTGTCCCACTTTCAGAAAAGTTTGACTCGTCAGACCCACAAACCCATTTCGCATTTTGCATAAAGGGGCAGTCACAGGTTCGCCTCAGCCAGAAACTATGTCATAGAGCACCATGTGGCAAGGTTATAGTAGAGCAATCATCGTATTCTGGTGCGATGACAACATCGACGTCATCGGCGCAAAATAAAGTGGTATAAAAATCAAATAAAATGCTGTATTGGGCTGCTCGACTAGTATATACCCTGTAGCCAAGATTAAAGATGTGTTTACAATAGAAAGTTCGCTTAGAACAGATAAAGCTAGTACCAATTCTATAAAACTCAAATAATAATGCTGTTCTGGAGGCTGCTCGATTCACATATACCCTGTAGCCAAATTAAAGATATGTTTAAAATATAAATTTCGTATGAAACATAAATATAGTTAAAAATTTATAGAAATCAAATAAAAATGCTACAACTGAGGCTCCTCGACTAACATATACCCTGTAACCAAGATTAAACATTTCTTAAAAATATAGCTTTTATATTGGGTACGTAGATATGATTAAATTTCTGTTGCTCTACTTGAGGCCAGTCGACTAAAAAATTGGATATCATATATTTGTTTATATTTTGTACTGCATGCCAATAGTCAGAATACAATGTCAGCCATTTACAGGGTATTATTTGAGTAGAATTGGTGTCGTCCTTGGCAGGATTGCGTAACTTTGTCCTGGTCGTTTGCCCCGGTGCCTGTCACACGCAGTATTTAATGTTCTGCAATTAGTTACCAAGGTTACCCAACTGCCACATACCCTACAACCACCCACCGGCCCTGTGTGCCTGCCTGCCCCTCTACCCTTGCATTATCCTTGCGTCAATTGAGTTTCGCTTTTGGCGCGCTTGGCTAATTTAATTACTCGGCCAAATGGTGTGGAAAATGTTAAAAGCAGCGACAAAGTGAGTTTGTGGTGAACAGCGGGGAGAGGAAGTTGCTACCAATTGCCGGTTGCAGAGTGTAGAGTGTAGGGTGTAGGGTGTAGGGTGAAGGGTGCAGGGTGGAGGAGTGCAAGGGTGCACTTTACAATTTTCCCATGGCTCTGGCGCCGAGCAGTCGCCACACAAATTGCACTTTTCATTGCGTAAAACCGGGAGAGTTGTAAAAAAAACACTATACTAGAAGTATATACAGGTTAATGTACCATATACATATAGTTTTCATTGATTTTTATGCCCTGTTGCTGGGAGTAGAAGTTGAAAGGGTTGTATGATATGGAAGCATATTTCTTCTTAATATGATCTTCAAATATTCAAGACTTCATGTCGATTAGCATATATCACTGACAACTTAACTTTATATTGAGTATTCTACTTCTTCAGGAAGACCCAGAATATTTGACCGGTAATCAGTTTTAACATTCTTTACAGGGCATCTCGTAGTCGCGCCAGCTTAACTCTCGCATTCAGACTTGTTTTGTTTGTTGCTCTCAATTGAGCTGATGACTTCATTTCCATGTCTTTCACATGCGATTTTTTACTTTGTTCTACTATTTGGTTTTACTCGTGGACTGTATTGAATATCCTTGAAGCGAATGCAACATGCGAATGGAGCCGAATCGGAACTCCCCCCTCGCTCCGCTGGTTCCAGCGCCTTGCCGTGTGCGTGTCCTCTGCGGAAACGGGTTTTGGGTTAGGTTTGGAGTTTTTTCCGTTTTGTGCCTTTTTAGCTTTAGTTTTCGCTTTTAATAACATTCGAAATGAATATGACATCACAATTTTTGAGTGGGTTTTCGATTGTGACTCAATGTGCGTCTTTTTTGATACAAATGTGTTTGAATAGACTTTGGGAGAGGCCACACTTGGTAATTTGGCAGCCGTGTGGTCTGTTCCAAGATCATAAAATCTATATATGAGCTCGACTCGAGTCTGCGCTCAAATCAAACAGAAAGGTGTGAACCAGGTGTGTGATCTCATAGACTATAAGAACAAGAGCACTCTCTGTGTCTCTTATACCATAAACGGATCAAGCTTTGGGAAACTTGTCGATTCTATAATCCGTAACCCCCGCCAAAAGACAATCATGGGCTAAAAAACCAGAGTTAAGCCCAAATCAAAGTTATTTATCAATTACAGGGTATCAACTAGCACAGCATTCTCAACTTAAACACATTTTAAGTAAATTTACAAAATCTATCAAAACCAGAACTGAAAACATTTCCAAAATTTCGTTATATACTTCTATATAATTTTCAAATATCCGTTTCAAATAAAATTCTTTTGTATCCGGCAATTTGAGAAATTCTTCACATTATATTCAGCGTCAAATTGTTTAATTTCAACGTTTATATGCTAATTAAAATTGAAATTGAAATTGCAAAATTGATTTTATTTATAATTTCTATTTATACAAGCCCATTTTGATATTAATATTGATTTAAGAGCACAAACTGCGAAAAAAGCACGCACAAATTTTCAAAACTGTTTCAGTATCCGCACAAATGTCGCAAGAAATGCGTGTTCAAAATTTTTAAAAATTTGATTTTGTTTTTTTTTTTTTTGATTTTTTTGTAGCTAAAATATTTGAATTCAACACGAAGCAGACGACGAAGTGGAACTATAAAAACAACAAGAAGAAGAAGAAGAAATGCTATCAAAGCCAAAATACACCGCACTGTATATTGATATACGTTAAAACTACAAAAATAAATTTCGAAAAAGCCAAAAACAAAACAATGGGCAAAACAGAAATCACAAAACTATAAAAAACCGAAGCAACAACAACAAACAGCGCAAAGCTCGCGTCGCGCGGTGTTTTCAAAAAAGCGTTTTTTTTTTTGTATATATATATATATATATTTTTTTTTGGTGTTTTTTTTTTTGTTTTTGTTTTTGTGTTTTTATGTGTACATTTTACGGTTGTGTTTTTGGTTTTTGGCGGCAGCTGAAGCCAAAACGTTGCCTCGTCGTGGCCAATGCTCGCTAATTGTTTTTTTTTCGTTCGCGTTCCGCGTGCGCGTTCCCAACGCTTCGCCGTTCGAGTGAAAACTAAACGAAGCGCGCGAGCAGCCAAGCAAAAGCAAGCGATTGTCGCTGACACCACCACAACCACAGCAGCAGCAGCAGCAGCAGCACCAACAACAACAACAACACAAGAACAAGCAGCGGCACGTCCAGCTGTTTTGGTCTTTGGTCTACTGTGCTCATGCGGTTGGTGGGCAATGCTGCTTAAGTATAAGCGTAAGTATAAGAGAGAACGCGAAAGAGAGCGCGCGCAAAGCTACAGCTAACTGTTAATGTGTAGCCGACTTTGCGGCGGTGTTGAGAGCAGTATAAGAACTGCGAAAGCTTAGCTCTCTTTTGGGCTGTTGAAAGCGGCGCAGCGCGTAATTATAATTTGGATTACCTTTTTATAAGCTGATCTTAATTGTTCAGTTTTCTTCGGTATGCCGAAGTTTCAATACCCTTGCGGACATGCGGCAGGTGTGCGGTATATCTATCAAATGGTCTGTAGCTCACATTGATATAGGCAGAGTTTAGATATCAGGTCCATAGTGCACTGAGAGAATGTGAAGTATCAGCCTGTATGAATCTATGAAGCTAGCTGAGGAGCATAGCACAGCTAAGCTAAAAACAAAATATTTCCTTTCAAAACTATTTTTTTAACTAAAAAATATATTTTTCTACAAAAATTTCTAGATATGCTAAAAAATCTTATTTTATATTATAACCATAGTAAAGCTCATATTTCTTGAGTTTGGAAAACATGTCAAAAAAAATTAACAAGTTTTCACGCTAAAATTCAATTTTAACTTAAAGTAGAGCAAAAAGAATCATCTATACTAAATTTGGTAAGGCTGGCTTTTAAGGCAGTCGAGTTCAGATGGAACATGCAGATAGTTAGATGTCTTAACCTTTCTATAATTCCCTTAAATTGTTAATCTAATACGGAAAATTGTTATATGACCAATTGCTTACAATTCGAAAAGGAAGTTCGCATATTCGATTACATATTTTAGCTGGTTGCATTTAAAAACCTCTTTAAAAGGAAATTCAATCAGTTACGTCTGCCACGCACCTGGCAAAAGGCAATTCCTGCCACAGCTGTGCCCAGAGATAGCATTGAGCGCTTATAATTTCAGCTGTCCGGGGCTGTAGAGCAAGTGCAAAGATTTTCCGGCAGGCGAAATGTGTTGACCATTTGACTGTCTAGTATTTTCAACCCTTAGATGTCAGACACACCCCCGCGCAAAGCCGCGCGTCTGCCATATAAACATATATACTTATATATGTAAACGTAAATTCACGTGCACGCACTTTGAGGGTGTTTTTATACACATGTGTACACAGAGTACATAGAATATGATTGATAGAACCGAACTGCCATTTCCCTAATTAAGTAGAATGCATAACTAAAGGACATTTAAAATGCTTCTCAATAAGCGTTGTTTATTTATTTAGGGGCGGCAATGTCTATTTGCTCTATTCGGAACTCGAGCTGAACCCCAATTTGATTTTGGAATAATTTTGATAAATGTTCGGAATATTTAAACAAACGTTATTTGAGGCCATATCGCTTACTTTATAAATAGTTTGGTGGTAATTGAAGATATTTTACTATTAAGTTATTCTGTGGAACACCTAACATTCATGTAAAATATCCTCAGATATTCTTTATAGAGATAGGAAGAAACTTCCTAATCCCATAACTCGGTCAAAACTCAACCGATTTTAATGAAGTTTGGGTTTTTGTCCATCGTTTGGTCTCTAGATCAATGTGGCATCCAAATCTGACAACCCTATTTTTGGTCGAAATTCATGTAAAATATCCTCAGATACTCTTTATAGAGATAGGACGAAACTTCCTAATCCCATAACTCGGTCAAATCTCATCCGATTTTCATAAAGTTTGGCTTTTTGTCCATGGTTTGGTCTCTAGATCAATGTGGCATCCAAATCTGACAACCCTATTTTTGGTCGAAATTCATGTAAAATATCCTCAGATATTCTTTATAGAGATAGGACGAAACTTCCTAATCCCATAACTCGGTCAAAACTCAACCGATTTTAATGAAGTTTGGTTTTTTGTCCATGGTTTGGTCTCTAGATCAATGTGGCATCCAAATCTGACAACCCTATTTTTGGTCCAAATTCATGTAAAATATCCTTAGATATTCTTTATAGACATAGGTCGAAACTTCCTAGTCCCATAACTCGGTCAAATCTCATCCGATTTTCATAAAGTTTTGCTTTTTGTCCATGGTTTGGTCTCTAGATCAATGTGGCATCCAAATCTGACAACCCTATTTTTGGTCGAAATTCATGTAAAATATCCTCAGATATTCTTTATAGACATAGGTCAAAACTTCCTAGACCCATAACTCGGTCAAATCTCATCCGATTTTCATAAAGTTTGGTTTTTTGTCCATGGTTTGGTCTCTAGATCAATGTGGCATCCAAATCTGACAACCCTATTTTTGGTCGAAATTCATGTAAAATATCCTCAGATATTCTTTATAGACATAGGTCGAAACTTCCTAGTCCCATAACTCGGTCAAATCTCATCCGATTTTCATAAAGTTTGGCTTTTTGTCCATGGTTTGGTCTCTAGATCAATGTGGCATTCCAATCTGACAGCACTATTTTTGGTCGAAATTCATGTGAAATATCCTCAAATATTCTATAAAAAACAGGTCGAAACTTTCTAATCCTATAACTCGGTCAAAACTCAACCGATTTTAATGAAGTTTGGTTTTTTGTCCATGGTTTGGTCTCTAGATCAATGTGGCATCCAAATCTGACAACCCTATTTTTGGTCGAAATTCATGTAAAATATCCTCAGATATTCTTTATAGACATAGGTCGAAACTTCCTAGGCCCATAACTCGGTCAAATCTCATCCGGTTTTCATAAAGTTTGGCTTTTTGTCCATGGTTTGGTCTCTAGATCAATGTGGCATTCAAATCTGACAACACTATTTTTGGTCGAAATTCACGTGAAATATCCTCAAATATTCTATAAAAAACAGGTCGAAACTTTCTAATCCTATAACTCGCTCAAAACTCAACCGATTTTAATGAAGTTTGGTTTTTTGTCCATGGTTTGGTCTCAAGATCAATGTGGCATCCAAATCTGACAACCCTATTTTTGGTCGAAATTCATGTAAAATATCCTCAGATATTCTTTATAGACATAGGTCGAAACTTCCTAGGCCCATAACTCGGTCAAATCTCATCCGATTTTCATAAAGTTTGGCTTTTTGTCCATGGTTTGGTCTCTAGATCAATGTGGCATTCAAATCTGACAACACTTTTTTTGGTCGAAATTCATGTGAAATATCCTCAAATATTCTATAAAAAACAGGTCGAAACTTTCTAATCCTATAACTCGCTCAAAACTCAACCGATTTTAATGAAGTTTGGTTTTTTGTCCATGGTTTGGTCTCAAGATCAATGTGGCATCCAAATCTGACAACCCTATTTTTGGTCGAAATTCATGTAAAATATCCTCAGATATTCTTTATAGACATAGGTCGAAACTTCCTAGTCCCATAACTCGGTCAAATCTCATCCGATTTTCATAAAGTTTGGCTTTTTGTCCATGGTTTGGTCTCTAGATCAATGTGGCATTTAAATCTGACAACACTATTTTTGGTCGAAATTCATGTGAAATATCCTCAAATATTCTATAAAAAACAGGTCGAAACTTTCTAATCCTATAACTCGGTCAAAACTCAACCGATTTTAATGAAGTTTGGTTTTTTGTCCATGGTTTGGTCTCTAGATCAATGTGGCATCCAAATCTGACAACCCTATTTTTGGTCAAAATTCATGTAAAATATCCTCAGATATTCTATAAAAAACAGGTCGAAACTTTCTAATCCTATAACTCGGTCAAAACTCAACCGATTTTAATGAAGTTTGGTTTTTTGTCCATGGTTTGGTCTCTAGATCAATGTGGCATCCAAATCTGACAACCCTATTTTTGGTCAAAATTCATGTAAAATATCCTCAGATATTCTTTATAGACATAGGTCGAAACTTCCTAGTCCCATAACTCGGTCAAATCTCATCCGATTTTCATAAAGTTTGGCTTTTTGTCCATGGTTTGGTCTCTAGATCAATGTGGCATCCAAATCTGACAACCCTATTTTTGGCCCAAATTCATGTAAAATATCCTCAGATATTCTTTATAGACATAGGTCGAAACTTCCTAGTCCCATAACTCGGTCAAATCTCATCCGATTTTCATAAAGTTTGGCTTTTTGTGCATGGTTTGATCTCTAGATCAATGTGGCATCCAAATCTGACAACCCTATTTTTGGTCAAAATTCATGTAAAATATCCTCAGATATTCGTTATAGACATAGGTCGAAATTTCCTAGTTCCATAACTCGGTCAAATCTCATCCGATTTTCATAAAGTTTGGCTTTTTGTCCATGGTTTGGTCTCTAGATCAATGTGGCATTCAAATCTGACAACACTATTTTTGGTCGAAATTCATGTAAAATATCCTCAGATATTCTTTATAGAGATAGGACGAAACTTCCTAATCCCATAACTCGGTCAAAACTCAACCGATTTTAATGAAGTTTGGTTTTTTGTCCATGGTTTGGTCTCTAGATCAATGTGGCATCCAAATCTGACAACCCTATTTTTGGTCCAAATTCATGTAAAATATCCTTAGATATTCTTTATAGACATAGGTCGAAACTTCCTAGTCCCATAACTCGGTCAAATCTCATCCGATTTTCATAAAGTTTGGCTTTTTGTCCATGGTTTGGTCTCTAGATCAATGTGGCATCCAAATCTGACAACCCTATTTTTGGTCGAAATTCATGTAAAATATCCTCAGATATTCTTTATAGACATATGTCAAAACTTCCTAGACCCATAACTCGGTCAAATCTCATCCGATTTTCATAAAGTTTGGTTTTTTGTCCATGGTTTGGTCTCTAGATCAATGTGGCATCCAAATCTGACAACCCTATTTTTGGTCGAAATTCATGTAAAATATCCTCAGATATTCTTTATAGACATAGGTCGAAACTTCCTAGGCCCATAACTCGGTCAAATCTCATCCGGTTTTCATAAAGTTTGGCTTTTTGTCCATGGTTTGGTCTCTAGATCAATGTGGCATTCCAATCTGACAGCACTATTTTTGGTCGAAATTCATGTGAAATATCCTCAAATATTCTATAAAAAACAGGTCGAAACTTTCTAATCCTATAACTCGGTCAA